TGTGTCCGGGCCAGTGCACAGGTGTGTCATGGACTGAAATAAGGTTGGGAACTGGGTCATTTGCAGGCTGAAGGCAGCTGGAGTCTTTAGAGCACAAGCTCCTATTGATTGTCTGGGGACTCCTCGGTAAAGGAATGAGAGTTTTTAATTACCAGTAGTTGAGTTTCCCAACCAATAGGAATTCTTTTCCATTCTGAATATTTCCCCCCTTGAACAGATGCAAAATAAGGGGCCGTGGGCCTGGCATGTGGTATGGGATTTCTGTTTCCTATCAAGCAAGATAACTTTACGGATCTCTTTACAGCTAGACTTGACTCACCATCAGATGGAGTTTTGTCATGGTTGATGCTGCAGGGGAACATGGTATTATTATAAACTTACTGATTTTTGTCTTTAAACAACTAAACCAGAAGATAAGCTAGCTCAAAAGCTATACCAGTTTTTGAGAAATTTTAAAAAGAAGGAAGTAAAAGTTTCAAGTTTGGTAACTATGTCATGCCCTGCCTGCCTCCTGGGACCAATATACAGTTATCTGAAAGTGCTTTGATAAACAAAATGTTCTGTTCAGATCTAGCATACAATTACTTGACTACAAAGAAACTTACATCTGGGTTTTGAAGTTTGTGAGTAGGAGTAAGAATCTGAAAATACAGTACAAGGCTATGTGAGAGGATGCTGAGTGTGCAGACTTGCACACATTTCTTCCCTTGCTGGTAAGGAAACGCAAGAGTAAGGCAGCCCCTGTGGGCGCTCTCTCAGGAATCACTGATGCACAATTCAATTTCATTATTAATGAAAAAAATGTCCAGCAAAACCTAGGGTACCAAAATGTTGCACAGACTAAAACCAACCAACAAAGACGCATATGAAAACAAAGAAATAAAAAAAAAACTTATTTTAAATGAGCTTTCCTAAGGTAACTGCCAAACTGTTATAATGGCACACTGTTTTCAATGACAGAATTCATACTGATGAGCCCAGGAGGCGAATTCCACACTTTTATTCTGTGCAAGACAGAGTGTGTATCTGTAGAGGCAAAAGGACCTCAAGACCTCAGAGACATTTCAAGTTAAACTACAGAGAAAGAGGCCTGATGAGAGAAGTCTAAGCTTATCCTTGCAAAGTCTGGAAGAGTCCTTTCTTCAGCTCACCATTCACTTTTAGATTCGATACTGCATTTGACAGGAGACACAAACTCAGAATTATTTAAGAGGTGTGCCCAGAGCTATGTGGATGCTGTATTAAGTGTGGAATTGAAAGCTGGCCCCGTAGAGCAAAGGTGAAGTGCTACGCATAGCGAGCCAGATCCCACATGGCCAACCACTGTGAGTCCCAGCCCTGTTGGCTTGAAGAACATGCCAGTGTGCATATGCTCCAAATCCTGATGGGATGGGAAATGGAAGAATGCTTGCTCTTTCTTTCCTTCCCTCCTTCTCTCACATGCAGCTTCTGGCAATTTGAAAAAAAAAAAAAAAAGTGAAATCTATGTCCCTTTGCCTTTCCAGCAGAGATGAGCCTTACGTTCTAATACAAATGCATTTAGTAACTCTTCATTCTAATCATAATAACAGCTATCATTTATTGAATACTTGTTATGTGTCAGAAATTTGTTGTTGCATATGATCTCAATGCCAGTAACAATCCTAGCAGGTTTTTATCACCATTTTAGAGAAAAGAGAATTAAGGCTAATTAGTCAGCTAATAAGTGATTGAGCAGGAATTGGACTCAAATTTGCCTAACATTAGAGCCTGTGGATTTAACCACTACTTCAGGCACAATTACTGGGTTTTATTTCATATGCCAATTACCTGGACTAGGAATGCATTCCTGGATTCTGAGACAATCGGTGAACTCAGTGGGAAAAAGAACCGTGTCACTTTCTGATATCTGTGTGGCAAGGGATGAAAAGTGGTAGTGGTGATTTACACAGTAGTGATTTGCCGATCTGCTGTAGGTATGCTTGCTCTGTTAGAGAGAGAGGGAGGGAAAGGGAGAAAGCATACTCCAGTGAGGCTTGGTCACACCACAATCCCTTCTCCATTTCCCCATCCTGTTGGGGTTTGGGGCATGAATGTACACACGTTGGAAATGTCAAGTTCCAAGGCTGGGATGGCCAACTGTGGCTGACCATGTGGAATGTGGCTCCCTTAACCACTAGGCTCTGGGACTGACCCAGGGTATTATTCTTCATATGTATGACATGTAATCTACTCTGCAGTCCAGCTTATGCCGCATCTATGTGACCACATTTTGTTACACTAATACAGAATACATAATCTGTCAATTACACAGAATTTCCTTAATTCATGTGTTATTAGAATATTCTAGACTGCATTATTTGTAGGAAGAAGGGACCAGCCTTAAGTTGCCCATAAGGCACTGTTGATTCAACAGGGGTGGGAGAATAATAAAAATCAGTATATCAATTAAAAAGTGTTAACAAATTATTATGCACTAGCTAGATGTTCTCTGTGCATATAATTCATAAAATGATTTAGGCAAAAAAATAAAAGTCTCTAAGGGCCAAGCAGTGCAAGCAGTATCGCAATGCTCTGCACGGCTGACCCACACGAAGAGGGTTTGTGTCGGTGACCCTCTAAACAAGCTGGGCATGGGGGTGCCCATGATCTGGGACTGGCTGAAGCTGGGGCGTAGATCACAGCATCAGGACCCAGGTGAGGTACACATCTGTCTTTGTCACTCACAGAAGAAATAAATAAATATACTTTAAAAACAGTCTTTAAAAGATTAAGATGAAGCAGACTCAGCCACAGTAAAGGAAATTAATTAATGATTTGAGACTAAATAAGGAAAACAGACTTAGCAGTAGCTGAACAAAGGGATGAAAACCTTACAAAGGACAAAGACAGCCAAGGTTAGAGAAAAGGAAGGAATCAGATGAACACAGGAAACACACTAGCTATCTCTTTGGAAAGATCTATTTACTTCCTGTGTATATTTTGGCAAATTTTATAACTACACCAAAAAAACACAAAAAAATTAGTCTTGTTAAACAGTTAGCTGGGGGCGTAAGGAATAGTGTATTCCAAAGGCCCTGGGAATGGATGGGAGTGCCCAAGACCTGAGGCAGCAGCCTGGGGGACTTCTGGCTGATAGCTGCCCATTAGTGACAAAGCATTCCTGGAGTTCCGCCAGTCTCACCTGCTAAACTCAATCATGATGAAAGGCAGCAAATGCACTGGAGATTTTTCCTCCACTTTTTTTCCCTCTTATCTTCTGTACTCCCTTCTGCCCTTGCTACCACTGACTTCCCTCTTTACTTCCTCTCCTCTCACAGGACATTATGGAGATGGCTCTAGTGCAACGATTTTAGGTTTACAAAAGTGAACCAGACTCAGCCACTCCACGGCCCACAGTCCAATGAGGAAGAAAAACATTATCCACTATAATTGTGTATCACTTTACAAAGTGCTTTCTCACACAGGGCGAAGCATTACTATCTTCCCTTTAAAAGTGAAAAACTGAAGCCCAAAGTAGTGAAGTGAATTGTTCAAGACCAACCATCTAGTACAGAATACAGGTAATGAAGAAGAAACAAAGAGGGAAAGAAAGAATGAGTTCAAAGAAAGTGAGAGACATTATTCTTCCCTCCAGTTAATGAGTTTCACCACAGGCTGCAAAATTAGTATACACATACTTCAACACATTTGTACGCATGCATATGTACACATACACAAAACATGTACACACATATTGATATACACATACCTGTACACATGCACACACACAAATATATACACATATTGATGTGCACATGCATGTAAACACACATACACATGTATACACATATCGATGCACACATACCTATATACATGCACATACACATGTGTACATATATATTGATGTATGTTATTGATAACACTAGATAAATGTGAAAGTACTCTGCACCTTGCAAAAGGTTAAGCAAGTATAAATTAGGACCATTATTAGTTAGGACCAGAAATCAGTAAATATGCAAAGCCTAAGTGAATATTTAAAATATCTGTCAACCATTGCTTGTGAAAGATCAGAATACATTTTAAGGTTCAGGATAAACTATATAAGAAATGTAGATGGACTTAAGAGAGTAAAAAAAATTTATTTTCAGATGTCATTTTTTTCACTTGACCACTACAGAGCCACTTTAATTACACAGTCATGAAGAGTACAACTGAACTTAATTCTGACTTTCACATAATCAACATCATGCTGTATAGATACACCCCACCACTTCAGTCTACCTTCTTGAACATTGCTCTTATAACCTTTAATTAATTCATTTTTTCATTTTTGACAATCAAATCAAGGCTATTACCTTGTATATCATTTTCTTTTCTTTTTTTCTTTTATGGATTTTGATTTTGATTTACATTTAATCACTGTACATCTTTACAGTGCACAACTCAATAGAGAATTTTACAGTTCTTTTGTCTGTCAAGCGTGTAAGGTCTGGGGGAAGGGAAAAGAAACATGAGGGAAACATTCCCGGCCACAGGAACTTTCCTGTTTTCGCATCTGGCCCGCCATCACCAACGGACTTTCCTGCCCTTCAGCATTTGGTGCTCCCGCCAAAGTTGAATGGAAACAGCAAACTTCATGGCCCAGACAAGGACCGATGGCGAGCCCCTACTGGACAACAGCCCTTTAAGAACGAGCAGCACCCACCCTGGGCGTGATTCCCTCAGCCTCAAGCCTGTTATCTCTACCCTACCCCTTTAATTACCTGTTCAGGCCCTTCCCATCACACTAGCCCTAGTTCTCTCTGTTGGACTGGACCACAGTAATGGGTGTTCTGGAAAAGGCTTTTGCTAGCAGTGTTATACCTCCTACTCGTAACTCTAAGATGTCTGGACTGGCTAACTGGGGTTGCCTCCTCCCCCATGTGGTTAGCCATGCCTGGCCTCCTCCTCCTTCTCATGGCCTTTAGAATGGGCTCTGCCTTGGCAGTTACAGGGTGAAAATTCCAAACACAACACACATGGGGTGATCAAGGTATTATCAAAAAGACTGCTTGGGACAGGCGCTCCTCATCAGTCACTCTGCAGTTCCACCATTCGGGGTAACTTAGCAGCCCTCGGGTCAACTCTGGCGGTATCTTTGGCCCCCTCAGGGCTGCACCCTCACGACCTAATCCGGTCACATTTACTATCAAGAATTCATCTGTTTCTCTCTGGCTGTCCACCCAACTGGCAGGTATCTGAATAGATGCCTAGGATATAGACCCTGGGGGTATTATAGAAATACTTAAAGTTTATCACACCTGCCCCTTACACGACCAATCCAGAAAATTTTGGCCCCAGTAATTTTGCACTCTCCTTCCCCAAGCCAAGTGCCAGCTTTAATCAACTCTACTTTTCATTTTCTGGCTTCCCTGGAGGCCAGAAATAACTCTTGCTGCCTCTGCCTTCCACTGTTAAGACGGGTCATAGCTGCCATTCTGGTACCACCCTCATTCCAGGTCAGTTATACCTCTACCCACGACGTCACTACCCCTCCACAGTTCTCCAATGTCTCTCTCCTCTACACGTCCGACCTCACCTGGGCTCCCAATGGCTCTGCCCAGTGCCCTCTTGCTGAGATTTTCATCCTCTGCGGAGGCACTGTGTTCTTTTGCTTGCAGCCCTACGCACAGCTCTCTTAAAATCCCTACTACTCTGGCTCCTCCTGTTTCTAGGACCCATCACACTGCTATGCCTAATCCTGGCCTTCGCCCCCTGTATTTTACACTTCCTCAGGGAACGTACATCCATCATTGCTAGAGTGGCAGTTAATCAGATGCTCCTGTACCCCTAGCACCCCTTCCCCCAGACTCTCCAACCAGAGGACCCCAGATCAATGCCCCTTAACAGCCTAAAGCAGCCAGAGCGGTCGTCATCCCTTATCCCTTTAAGGTCAGAATATAAGGTCTAGGGGAAGGGAAAGAAACATGGCAGAAACATTCCCGCCGGCAGGAACTTTCCCGTTGTCCACACCTGGCCCCCCATCTCCAATGGACTTTCCTGCCCTTCAGCATTTGGGGCAACCTCTAAAGTTGAACGGAAATGGTGAGCTTCATTGGCCAGACAAGGACCCATGGTGAGCACCTATTGGACAACGGCCCTTTAAGAACGAGCAGCACCCACGCTGGGCGTGACTCCCTCAGCCTCTGACCAGGTGGGAGGACCTCATCTGAAAGCTTTTGCAGAATAAATTATATAGGTTTTATTAAATCCCATGGCCTAACAACTCTAGTATTTTTGTCTTTGCTGCCTCTAACTCTGCCGCCATTTTCAAATCAAACCTAACAAAGTGTTTCTTCCTTTTGCTCCTCCCACTCTAATTATTTTAATTTCTAATTTCTTTTGTTTATTTATTTCAGTTTTTACTATAGAACACCTGTGCTCACCAGAGAGAGACAGGAAGAGAAAGAAAATGAAATCACCCACTAAGGGTTATGGCCACACCACAATCTCTTTTCTATTCTCCCCTCAAGATTCTGGATATGGGGAACCAGCAGTTAGCGTAATGGCTATGTCGCTGGACTCCCACGTAGTCGACCACGGATCGTGTCCCAGACCCGGTGGCTTAAAACTCACGCCGGTCGCGTGTGCGTGCATGCCCAAGATCCCGAGAGGAGAATGGAGAAGGGATTGTGGCGTGACCATCCCCCCTGGGGGGTGATTTCTCGCTTTCTGTCTCTATGTCTCTCTCTCTGTGTCTGGCGAGCGCACACGCCCTATAGCGAAAATCTCTCCAAAAAAAAAAAAAAAAAGATTCTGGATATGCATGCACACACTATGGTTTTTCAAGCTGTCGGGTCTGGAACTCAAATTGTGTAGGCCATGTGGGATCCAGCTGCTGTAACCACCACCAGCTTGCCCTTACCTTTTTTTTTTTTTTTTTTTTTAATGTCCACTAAGGTAAGAAAGTAATAAATTCATCACCAAGAAGTTGAGGTTTCATTTCAAAGATTTTATAAGGACCAGGGACCAGCAGTTAGTGTAATGGCTATGTCGCTGGACTCCCACGTATTCGACCGCGGTTCGCGTCCCAGACCCGGTGGCTTAAAAACTCACGCTGGGCGCGTGTGCGTGCGTGCCCAGGATCCCGAGAGGAGAATGGAGGAGAAGGGATTGTGGCGTAAGTAACTATACCCCCTGGGGGTGATTTCTCGCTTTCTGTCTCTATGTCTTTCTCTGTCTGTCTGGCGAGCGCACGCGCCCTATAGTGAAAACCTCTCCAAAAAAAAAAAAAAAAAAGATTTTATAAGGACCAAAACACCTAAATAACTCTCCGTAGGTACTTCTCCCCTTCTAAATTTATCTCTACCCAATGTATATTAAACCATGTTATTACTACATAAAATAATCTAAAAATACAAACTATGCTATTTTCAGAACAGTCACATTGGAATAGATTCACCAAGGATTTTGGAAGTGAAAGTCAAGGATTTTAATACAGTAATAGCTTTTCTAAAGGAAGAGAAAAGATCAGAACAACAACAACAAAAAGACTCCTTTTTTAAATATATGAATAAACTCACAATTGACTATAAAGTATTTTAAGTTTCTAAGGTAGCCCTAAGTTCATCAATTTGATTTTAAAAATAAAAATAAGAAAATTGAATTAAAAATATTTCTTCTTAATTGGTTTATGAAAAAGTAAAATTCAAATATACCAATCACATCATTTTGGTAAAAGGGGCTAGTCTTATAAGCTAATGATAGAAAACATCTTACGATTACTTTAATCCCCCCAACACTCTTGAAAGGAGGATATTATAGTGGCCATTTTGTAAATGAGAAATCTTAGAGAGACTGAATAACTTGACAAGACAAAACTAGATAGACAGTGCTTCTTCCTTGCTATTTCTTCTAGAGAGCTGAAAGAAACAGATGTATAATTAGCAGGTGAAGAAGAAAGGGAGACTAGAAATGATTCTAAAATGTAGGATTTATTGTAAACCATGCCAAATTGAGTTGGGAACATGACTGAAACTAAATACCTGGAAAGAGT